GAGAGAGAGGTTTTGGATGGATCTAGAGCGCAGTGAAATATGCCAAGAAGACGGAATGGGGAGATACCGCTTCCGGAAGGGTGGGACGTCGCCCAGGACTTTGACGGGAAGGTGTACTTCATCGATCACAATACTCGGAAAACTACGTGGATCGACCCTCGAGACAGGTATGCAAGATCGAATAAGAGAAAAAGAGATAGACAAAATAAGAACAGAGAGGGAAGAGGAGGAAAGAAAGAAAGAAAGAAAGAAAGAAAGCAAGAAAGAAAGAAAGAAAGGGAGCTGCTGCCACCGCTTTTGCCGTAGGTGCTTCTTTCCCTTTTTTTCTTCTCGCTCAACGTTCCTTCGGAATACGCGCGCGACCAACTACTCGCGCATATACATACACAACACGCGTCGAGAGCGCGCGTGTATGTGTGCGTTCGAGCGTCACTATGTGGAGACTCCCCTCCTCGCGCGCTCTTCCTCGTGGACGCCAGCCCCTCTCACGCCGCGCGAGAACCGCGATCTCGCGAGGATACGCGATTCGGCGGGAATGTGTATACGGGGTGTATCGCGAGTCGTGAGTTGCGCGCACGCGTGCGCGCTTTCTCTGCGGATTCCACAGCGGATCTACGAGTCGACTTTTCTGCGGCAAAACTGACCGTCCGGCCGTCGCTCGGCGCGAGTCGGCGTCATTGAAATCTATCTTTCATGACCAAACCAAATTCGAATTCGAATTCGAAAATTCCCCTAGAGAAGGAGGTATGGTGTTATGCGCGAGACGTGTCTCGTAATTTGTTTACACATATCTCCGCGATAACCTGCTTCACGATTGATAGTCGCGTGCGATCGCAAAGGGAAGGAAAGTTGATATTGGCGCGAACGTCTCCTTGCGCTCGCAATTTCGTCTCTAATACATAGTCCAGAGAAAGTGCACGACTTTCGAGATATCCTGTGCATGCGCGTGTGTGGGTGTGGGTCGCGTGCTTTGAAATCGCGACAGCGCCCCGATGGCGTTCGTACGCGCGGCTTCACGCGGATTTCCGAGCGCGGCTTCACGCGGGCGGACGCAAGAGTGCGCTTTCGCTGATGTGTGAGACGTCGACTTCTTTTCGCTTTTCTTTGTTTTTTTTTTCTTTTTTTTTTCCGACGATATCGCAAATATCATCTCGCGTTTGCGTTTATGTATTTGCCGGTGTGATCGGTCCGATTGGCTGACGAGCAAACGCCACGACACACACGCGCTCCGTCCTCCGAGAGGACGGGGCCTCTCGTGTGAACGTTGCCTAAGTTGATAAAGTATGCATACGCGCGCGTACACACGCGTACACGCGACTCACATGCACACACACTTGTCGCAATCTCGAAGTCTCTCCTCGAGGCTGCATAGTTGCATACAGGCACGTACGTCGATCGCGCGACAGAAATTGATAGCCAAGTTAATATATATAGATCGGATAGAATCTGCTGATCTAGTATTCGAACGTCGAAGTCGCTTCGCTGTATGAGTATGTCGCTCGACGAAATTTCACTTCTCCGTCGTGTCGGTACCCCCATTGGAAAGTGGGCGATCGCGATTTTCGATATTCTTTAGCGCTGTGACAGATCATACTTGCATGTAGCTCCACTGTGTTGCTGATAAATTCTCTAACGAAATGTGCGTCAATGGAGGTCGCGCGACACGCGCGAATTTATGAAATTTATGAAACGCGCGTTGTATGAAAATCGACTGGACAATTCGTATCGAAGATCGGACCGACCCGACCACGTGCAGTTTTTTCTCTCCTCCTCCTCCGTCGCTCCATTCAAGGAGTCGCTCGGCTCTCTCTCTCTCTCTCTCTCTCTCTCTCTCTCTCTCTCTCTCTCTCTCTCTCTCTCTCTCTCTCTCTCTCTCACTCTCTCTCTCTCTCTCTCTCTCTCTCTCTCTCTCTCTCTCTCTCGGAGAGCCAACTATGAATTCTTTATCGAGAGATCGAGTGTTATCCAGTGTCGTTCCGACGATAGTACCCTAAAATAGTCTTGGCACTAAATTCACGCCAGATTAACGGGTTGCCGCGCGCTATCACGCGACTAGAAAAGCGTCCCTCCCCGGAAGATAGCGCTCTTATCGATCCGTTCTCGCCGATAGCCGCGTGCCAACGGCATTCTTCGTCGAATCGGAGATAGATTTTACACTACGTGCGCGCGCCCATCTCGGACGTCGCGTTTACAGTCGCGATCCGCGTAATCTATGCCCCGCGTACACCAGAGCACCGCCTACGCGCGCTGGAATTCCACGTCCACATACACGTCGTGCTCTCCGAAGAGCGGGCGTTCCCTTTTGCAGGACATTTTTCTATCGTATACGTCACACGCGAATTGGAGCTCTCGACGACTACGAGGCGCGCGCGCGCTACAGTCGGTGGTCGCGGCGACGGCGTCATGTGTGCGCGCTGCTTAAGTTCACGGAATATGTATTCGCGCGCGGATATGTACGCGTATATCCATGCCGTACACCGTGCACCGCCGGGTCTCGCGCCGTGACTCGCCGCGCCCGCATTCCATCCGCCAGGGCCGCGCTCCTTGAGAAAAACGCGAGAAATCTGGCGATCAGGCTCGGCTTTGCTTCTCGTCGGTAAGCGCGGTGACCGCGCAAAAATCCAAACGGCGCGTCGCGATCTCTCTCCCCTCCTCCCTCCCGCGCCCCCCTCTCTCTCTTTCTTTCTCTCTCTTTCTTGTACTCTTTCTCTTCTTCATACCGTACACTTCACGGAACACTTTTCGATCGACGTTGGAAAAACGAAAGTAAGGAGAGATACTTCGCACAGGTACATTTCGAAAGATTCAATCGTAATCGTTTTCTCCCGACGACTCTTTGTTAGCTGTGTAATTTTCTTTTTTATGTATACACACTCCGACTGATCTCAGATGAAATTTCGTTCTTTGCCGCGACTGGCTTTGTGAGAGCGGAGTCGCGATACGTGCTTTTAACTATTTACCGTTACCACCGTTAATGCAACCTTCTTCCTCGGCTGGAAGCCTAAGCTTTTAATTTCAAAGTGAACTTGTTTTATTGGCCAATTTGTAAGCTGTCGTTTGACGGTGCGAAGAAAGTGTGATTTATGATTGCCACCTCGTAAAAGTGCGCGTGCCGGTGGGATGACGCGAGACTTGCGGTTCCGTGACTTTTATAGCGCGAATAGCAGAGCCCAGGCTACGCGACAATGCAAAGGTTCGAATTTGTCGGCGGCGTAAAAATGTTGGGTTGTTCCTGCTTTTTGTTCCGCACAAACGTTAGATTTGCACGATAGTGATGACGACAAAGAAGACGATGGGCAGCGCCCAAACGCGAAGCATTTGTAAACAGGGTTCTTTTTATGTGATTGCAAACGACCTCGGTTTTTAACCCTTCCGTTGTGAAATCCATGCACAAGCGTCCTCAAAAAGTAACCTCTCATTTACGAACGGCATGTGTATGCGGCCTGAAAAACCGCTCATCATTTTCGAACGTTTATACACGACCGTGCAGATCTACATACATATATATATATATATATATATATATATATATATATATATATATATATATAGGGTGAAACACTTGAATTTAACACCATAATTTTTTTTTTTTTTTTTTTAACGAAAATTAGTAGCAGTATTTTGGCGTACAAAAGGATACTAAAGTAACATTATATCAAGATATAAAAATATTGTAAAACAGGAATGTCGAGTGCCTAATTCAAAATAATGTATATTTAGGTTGAAATTATTTCTTGCGGACATTTAAAAGTAGCCTTGATTTTTTTTCTCGGTATTATGTCTCCGTGACCATCATACACGCGAATATCACACATAGCGGTCGGTTTTCGGTTAAAGCGCGCCACTGTGAAAAGGTTAACCAAAGGAATGCAAAGGACGGTGGAAAGCACGGTGGAAAGAATCCAGTAGCGAAACTTTCCAACTGTGCACCGTGTACCTGAGAAAGGGAAACAAAAAAAAACTGTTTCCCATAAAAAATGGAATTGCCACCGCAAATTTATACACATGTGTATGTTTTTTTTTTTATTTTTCTTTCGTACATATAGATTGTTCAGGATAACAGCGACAAATGATCGAGATTTATCGAATATTCGTGCGCGACAACCGGCAGTTCTATAATTGGGTTAGTTAAAAATGCGAGACTTCTCAATTTTTATCAAAAACTGCGTAAAGTGGAATTGTGTTCCTTTTTTCTTCTTTTTTCTTTTTCCTGTGAATTATTATAACGTCGTGCCAGTCTCACGCGACGCGCGACATGTTTCGTAATGACGTCGAATTTCGTCAGGCGAGTAATATTCGTTGGTGGCGAAGCGAAGGAGCGCGATCTCTCGCGCGTGCAGCGCGTATAGATATGGATGGACCAAGAGAAGAGGCCGTGTGCCGACTCCTATACGCATGTACGTAGCCCACGGCTACGTTGTGTAAGTGCACCATCCTACGGGGCCAACCGGTATATAACGTACCTGCAACCGGCCTGTGCCTAAAAATAGACCTCCGCCCGCTTTTAGTGCATTCTTTGACGGCACGGCAACGGGGGTATTACTCTTTCGACTTTTCGTATCAATTTATCACGCTCGGGAGTGTATCTCGCGCAAGCTCCTCGCAACGTTTATTTCTGTCTTATAGGCGGATAAACCCATTTCTACGGAACGATAACGCGTTACGCTCCCGAGAGATATCCGCTCGTTCGAGCTATCGATGTTAGACGTGAGAGATAGGCGATTTTCCCCCCAGAGTAGACATTGGGGACAATTCTGCTGAAACAATTCACACGTATAACCTCCATGAAATATCCATGAAATAACGTCAACGTCGTTTATCTCGTCCACCGCGAATTCCACTGCGATTCGCGGTCCATCCTTCGATTCGCTGCGCTTTCTCAGACCCGGCTAATGATCGCGTTCGCAAGCAACACGACGACAGATTGCGCGTTGATCTGCAATTTTTTTCTTTTACGAGAGATATATTTAGGAAAGATTCTACTGGGTGATAAATCATTCGAAGAGTATGAAGGGCTCGTACACGGATCTTCTAGCGCGATAAAACCAAGCGAAACACGTTGATGCTTGAATTCTTGTGAAGTCAAGTTATTTACTTTATGGTCCAAATGGACAATAATATTATATTAACGGATATTATTGGACGATAACATAAATAAAGTAAACTCCTTGACTTTATAAGAATTCAAACATCAACTTGTTTCGCTTGATTTTATTGCACTATAAAATCCTTGTTGCAAGCCCTTCACGCTGCTCGCTTGATTTATCCTCCACCTTCACATTTTGCATTGAAACTTTATGTATCAGCTGCGAGCGGCCTTTTCGCGCATTCGTAATAACTGCCGAATTAATCTGGGTCCGCCTTCCGCGAGAGGCGCGATTTGTGTTCCTGTTTTACATGTACAATGTTGAAACACGAATGCGACGGCGGGCGCAAAGTCGTTTCTCGTGTCGCGTACTGCTTCTCATTCGTCAAAATCTCGAAATTTTATTCCTTGAAATTCATCCTGCCCCTTCTCGGCTTGCTGTTTCTCTTCTGCACCATCATCGTGTCGGTCACTTCAACCTGAACCGAAAATAACGTCCGCAGGTTCGTACGTTATAACATCGTGTTTCACGTTCCAGATGATTCTATAAAATTTTCATTGATTAATCGATCCATAAAAAAAATCAAAACTTTTCGTCGCGAGGTAGAAGGAATTTCTACGACTCGGCCGAGAAGAGAACAATTGAGAACAATCTGAGTCCCAAGGGACCCATATTATATAATACATTCTTGTGTTTAGGTCGTTCTTATTCTTGTGGTAGTTCTGCTCTCCCACCGTTACTTATTACAGTACTAACGTACAAAAATTTTCCCCGTTCCTCGTGCTGTCTCTTTAATACGACGGCAATGTGTTACGACAGCCAAATATTTATCACGCTGGATTACGTCAAGAACACAACGGCGATACGCCACGAGGAAGCGCTACAGAGGCGACTGACGTATGTTTCGTTTTTGGTTCTTTCTCTTCGTGCGCGCGCCAAATGCCGATACGCACGCGTAAATCCGGCTATTCGCGTTCGGAAGGGTCTCGCTGCCAAATATTTTTGCATTATGTGCGTCTAGACGGACCCGATCTTTTCTTCGAACGTCAGCGGACCGTGCGTGCGTGTACGTGTGGAATACATGCATGTATGCATGACAACTGCAAGTTATCGCTCGCATAGGATGAGAGAGGAGAGAGACGACTTGTCAATAAAATATGCGACGTTTTAGAAGCTGAAGCGATGCATGTCTCGCGACAAGACTTCTCGCGGCTTAATACTCCGGCGGGCATAATACGCGCGCGCTCGCACACACACACACACACACACACGTGATCACAGAGCCATGGCACGAATTGCGGGGCAGAAGTGTTCCCAAACTTGGAAATTCGATACATTCTTGCACCGTGACACGGCCACATACCGAGGACGAAGGCAAACGGAGATTCTTGTGGAGGCCCCCGCGCGCGAGAGAGTATCATTATTTTCTTCTCGGAATCTTTACGCTTCGGCATAAACGCGCCACGACGAAACCAGTCGTGTCCTCGACAAAATGCCTATTATGTCGTTAAAAATATTTTAAACTGTCATTAACCGCAATTACAATTTACGTTTTATGCAGCCACGCGCTTTACCGTAAACCACCGCCGCACCACGTACGCGATTAATCGTTCGCGATATCGAGAAACGACGGAGAAAAGCGGGACATCATTCTTGTAAAAATATATTTCAACGCAACAATGACAATATCGTCGTCCAGGCGCGGTTTAAATTTAGCGGGCGAGGCAGAGGGAGAGAAAGAGAAAGAGAGACATAGTTGGAATTCCTTCAACAGGTATCATCGTTGAGTTTCCGTTTCTCTCGCTTGGGACGCGTTCAACATTTCTCGCACTTCAATGTCGCGCATATGTCGCAAAAATTCAATAGTCGCGAACCAGTCGCGACAGCGCAGCGACATGAAGATGTCGGTAAAAATCATGGTCTACATGCGGCGCGCGCGATATTGGAACGTACAGGACGTAGCGATGAATCGCTCGTGAATTTCAAAGAGTGTCTAGAGTCTGGATTTCATTCCGCCTGCCACCACGATGGACTCGCCGGTGATGTAGGAAGCATCGTCGCTGGCAAGGAACGCGGCTACACTCGCAATTTCATCTGGCATTCCCATTCTTCCCATACTAATATTCGACACTGCGGCCCGCTGCGCCGTCTCCGACTCGTACAGCTGAAAGCCGCGGGGAACATGTGCACACATTTGGAATGTTATTCCGTTTAATTTATGCGAGAGATACAGGACAAGTGGCTCAGATGTAGGATTGTAGGAAAGTTACCGCTTTTGAAAACTTGGTCTTTACGACCCCCGGCGCAACACAGTTCACGCGAATCCTGTCGCACGCAAGGTCCTCCGCGGTGGCTTTACACAGTCCTGTCAAAGCGGTTTTGCTGACGGAATATGCACCTACGATCTGATGGACGATTATGCTTTTGGGGTTTATTTATTTTTTAGCACGCTATTGGATCTTTTTAGAGAGAGGGAGAATCGGAATTGAAATATTCTGAGAATAGACTCACGTCAATGGGCTGATAGGCCGCAACCGAGGTCACGATGGTGATAGAAGGTGATTTGCTGCATTTAAGGAACGGCAGGGATTCCTTCATGAGCAGGAACGTCGCCTTAAGGTTGACGTTGAAAATTTTGTCCCACATCTCCTCGGTAGTCTCCAGCACTGTGCAAAGTGCTGGGCTAACAGCCGCGTTAGGCACCAGGATATCGAGACCTCCGAAGTTCGCTTTGGTCTACGGAAGGACAACGGAAGGGGATAATGCACACGATACGGGAGAAACACATTGTATCATGAGCAAAAGGTGAAGTTTCGAAAGAGAATCCTGCATCGCGCTTGATCGAGAAATGTGGAAAGACGACGAGCCTGTGATTGGGCCGTTTTCGTCATAGTTTACTTTGTCAAAGAGGTTTTTTCTGTCCGCTGACTTCTCCACGTGGCACACGGTGCCCTCGACTTGCAACTTTGCGTGTTTTAGTTCATCCACGGCTTTCTTCACGTTCGATTCCTTACGGCTGCTGATCATTACCTTAGCACCTTCCTGTGCTAAACGTTTCGCTATGCAAAAGCCTATACTGCGAAGACACATAGCGTAACATAACCTAAGCATCGTACTTGAAAACATCGTTATACTTTACCGCAACAGCGACTCAACGACGGAAGATATTTTCAAGTGATATTATGAGCTACGACGTACGCGCGATATTCGAGGAAGAAAGAGAACGAAAATGGAGACGAAATGCGTGCATATTGAACTCATGAAATTTTGCTCACCCAGCTGTCGAACCTGTCACGATCGCGACTTTTCCTTCCAGCCGCTTGCACTTCACCGAGCAAGCGTTGGTACTGCATCTTCGAACAGCTCGACTAATTGCGACGCGCAGCATCGTAAAAGTTGCAAGCAACTTATACGTAAAGCAAATATGTCCCTCGCGATGGGGCAGAACAAATGCATGTCACGGCGATTTTGAACTTCGATATCTCATACACGCACACTTGAGTAAGAATCCTCACGTGTGACATGCGACCGTATTCCACGTCGTCCCAGATATGGCACAACGTTGCTCCAGACTACAACGGGCAATCCTTGACGAGAATTTCTCGCCTGCGTATTTTCTTCGTTACCATTATCGGTATAACTCTGCATCTCACTTCGCTCGTACACGTCGTCGTCGTCGCCCATTAGTTTTCCTTGGAAAGAGCCATCGTTCGTTCATCTGTGTGTTCCGTTTATTCGTTTCTCTCAGGTAGCCTCGTCGTCTGTCTACCAGACGGTGTGAGCGTGAACGACATATCCTGGTGCGTATACGCGCGCGTTCACCGATGTGTGTGTGTGTGTGTTGTGTGTGTGTGTGTGTGTGCGTGTGTGTGTGTGTGTGTGTATGTGTGTGTGTGTGTGTGTGTGTGTGTGTGTGTGTGTGTGTGTGTGTGTGTGTGCGCGCGCGCGCGCTCTCTCAGGCAGTGGCGACGGCGATCAGTGCCCTTGGGACAGAGCCAGGTAGCCGAAGAGACACCCACGCAATGCGAGTCGCATGCCCACGCATAGGTAGGTGCGCGCGCCCGGCATTAATCAGGTCCGTGTTTCACCTCCTGGCCGACGGTGGACGTGGACAACAGCGCCACACCTGTCGAGTCTGCTCACACGCGCGCAGCGTCGAGTTCTCTCCGCTCTCTCGGAAAATCTCGCGGGAGAAACTAATCCGGGGCATGTTAATCCGCACGGCGCGAGAACACCCGAGTGAATTGTTTTTTCTTCGACGCGGATCGAGGGGGGGAAAGAGAGAGAGAGAGAGAGAGAGAGAGAGAGGAGGGGGAGTTACGAGGAGAAGGAATGCCTCTCGGGGAATTCGGTCGACCACCAAAAGCAGACGAAGAACGGCAATGACGCTCTCGCTGTGCCAGCGCGCCTACGCTTTTTCGCGTAGCGAGCGTAAATCTTCATTTTGCCGGTATTATTGTGATGGGTGCCGCTTATTTCGGAGCGCCTAAATAATTACATTGACGCGCGCGAGACGTCTCCTCAGACTCTGCGAGCCCCCTCCACCTTTGGTCCGATGGATTTTCTCTGGTCGAGTCGAGGTTGATTTTTCGGTTAACGTCGACAATCTAGCAACATTCCGTCACGGACAGAAACGTCGTCGGTAGTTTTTCGTGTGAATTTCGTAACGCATCCGTCTTGTCCAGTATAGGAGAGTCCTCCCGCTTGACAGCCCCAAATTCCATACCGAATTAAATCCGCTCGAAATGGGTTTCGCGAAACGGGATGATTCTGTTATTCCCTGAATTTCCATTGTATTTTCTACGGGGAAACGAAATTATTCCGAGACTGAGGCTCGTTTTCCGAACAGTTCCATAATAATACCGCTTTGGTGCAAAGCCGAATATGTCCGAAGTGGCCGCAACGGGATCACTTGCAGTATATCGTAAGTTACCCCTTATCGATAATTGGACCTTCTCCTCGTAGAAAACGCTTTGTCTAGACATTTGTACGTTGATGGGGAAAAACGAGCGGCGATCGTTCAAGCGCAACCGGTCGATCGGAAAATTCTCAACGTCGAATTGCTCGTGGAATCTGCGCCAGATGAGAAAGAAAAAGAAAGAGAGAGAGAGGGGGGGGAGGGGGAAGAGATATGGTTCGGTACATGGAATACGTGTGCGCAGCGCGACATTCGCAATGACGCCGCGACTTTTATTTATCTGAGAGAAGCGCGGCTATTACCCCGTATGGAGTCATCATCGTCGTTCATGGAGCTACAAAAATGTACACTTTAGTGGTACCAGCGGCGAGCTCGAGCGATGCTCGAAGCGCGACATTAAGTGCCATCTCGTATATTCGCGTCGAGAGATTATACCTCGCAGGATGTATGGAATGCGTATACGCGCGAAACACGTCGCGCGGCGAATTTACGACTCTTTCGCCCGGCTCAGCCGTACGCAGCAATATTCATTTTGATACGGGCGTTTCTTTAATTAAAAAAAAAAGGAAAACGCAAGCTCGTGCGTTTTAAGGTGCGTTTCCCTCTCGTATTAAGTAACATACAACACACACGTGCGCGCTTTTGTTTGTTTTTTTTTTTATTCTTTTTTTAATTTTTGTGCGCGGGCGTGATAAACATCTCGCGTGCATGGGGAATTTTTATTAAATTTTTATTAAATAATATGCCATATACTGTATTATCAGCCATACACACAAACTGCAATCTACAAATTTATATATAACAACAATTAATTGATCGTTTCCTCGAGTATTTTTTGTCTTTATAGTCTTATAGTATGAATTTTCATAAAGGTATGTTCACACATATCTTCAAAGGTTCGAATAAAAATCGTCCCTGACGGGACAAACTATTTTTCGTCGATCACGCCTGAAACTTTACCACAATACAGGAATCCACTACGTCCCTTCAACGTGTTAACAAAAACTGCCGAACGTTCGAGCGCTTCGGAATGTAACGTTGAAAACTTTTGTTTTACGAGAAACGGCAATTTCGATTTCTACTCCTTTAACACAACGCGGATTTCTACTTTCCACCGTCATTAGACCGGCGGTTTGCGACATTCACGAAAAGACTCTCAGTGTAGGCGTGCTTTCGTAAACGGTCGAGAGCGACAGGAATATTACTGTAATTTGTCTCGCGGCTCTATTGTTTCCCTCGTACGCAATGCACAGGTATGTACGTGACGGATTACGACTTAGGAATCTTGTATGTACGCGCGGCCGGTAGCGCGTCTCGTGACGCAAGTATTCACATTACAAAAACGCTGTCTGGCTGTGTAAAAACAACTGTAAAAAGCAAATCACGATCAGTTACGATCGTTCTCTCGGAGTGTGAAAAAGTTACTCGCGCCCGTACATCAATCCTCGGATTGTTTCCGTTTATCGAAAGAAAGTTGTCCGAAGAAAATGTTACAATTCCATTTTTTTCTTTTACATAAAATGGAAAAAAATAGAGCAGGATGTCGACGTATTCTTCGCTTAAGGGAATTTCTGTCTTCATTCTTATTATTTATTAATAATAATTATTTACACTAGCAATTTTATAATTTTCTCCCTCCCGTATAACGAAAAAGGGGAAAAACAGAACGATGACAATAACGATAAACATGTGCCATTGTGCAATTTGTAGTTCGAGATTCCCCCAGAGAGGGAGTCCAAAACGTCTGTTTCGCAATTTGACTTGAACGAACAATGCTAAGTGAAAATCGCCAGAAAACGTGTGTCGTCGGGAGTTTCTTTCTCAATGAAAACTCGAGCGTAGAAAGAAAACGCTTCCCTCTCGCTTATGTACGTGAGTATATAATCGTACGCCGGCATGTTAATGAAGTGTAGTATATGTTGCGCGCAAATTCGTAGCTTCGTTTCCTTCGCAAGTATGCATTTCGTGAATGAATCGTTGCGGCGCTCTCTCTCTCTCTCTCTCTTTATCGCTCGCCGGCTACAATGAATGATCGCGCGCATTCCTAATCTTATCGGCCTGGCATGAGGAACTTATTATTGGTCGTTAGCACTTCTTGAACGTCGTGAACGAACGTTAGAACCTCGTTAAGACACTCGGGTCAGCGAGTTAAATTCCTCCTATCTTTCCTAAAGGGATTAGAGAACGAGGGAGGGGAGGGGACGAGAGGAGCGCCTCTCGCATTAATTAGCATCGACGTCTTCTCAATGACGACGCCATGTTCTCCCGCCCTCGTGTCGCATATTTTTGCAAATTGCGAATTTTGCGCGGACGACACGGGAGACAACGACAGACAGTCCTCGATCAATTTGCGGCAACGTGGAACGGCACGCGATTCGTCCTTGATCTACGACTGGTGTTTCAGTTTAATTACGCCGGCAACGAACACTGACGAGCCGGTTTTCCTGCTCCATTATATGTACAGGGAGAAAAGGAGAGAGAGAGAGAGAGGAGGGAGGGAGGGAGGGAGAAAGAAGTCGCGTGTCATTAAAAAAAAAAGAGAAATATTTTATTTATGCGAGAAACAAGTCAAACGAATTATCAAACCGAAGGAACTGGATTGATCCAGCCCAATAAAGCTTAATCTAATTTCAAATGGATTTGAAATTCCGAAATTTGCCGTCGTCATTAATTTTTCAATGTAAATCGAAGAAAAGAATGCTCGAGCGACCTTGAGCGGTCCTTGTCCGCGGCAATACTGGCGGCGGATTTCGCGGTAATTCGCCGGTAAAACAAATATATCGTCGCCGGACTTGCACAATGTCTGTCGCGAATTGGAACGTCCGTCATGGATCACCTAATAATGACGGAGGGAGCCCTCGTCATCGTGTAAATATCCGAGAGGAATCGGCGGGGTGGGAGCGGTTGTGTGAATGGAATGGGGCAGGAGTGTGTACGGTCAGGCCCTGATGATGTTTCTGGGAATTTCTTTTTATTGCACACGAGGGAGGGAGAGAGAGAGAGAGAGAGAGAGAGAGAGAGAGAGAAGGAAGGAAGACGGGGAAGCGCGTGGAGACTCTCGGATGACGGCTGGTCTTTGGAATTCCAGTGTGCAGGAAATAAACGTCTGTTTACCGGCCGTCGTTCGTTGCACAATTTTTGTTTGCAGATCGGAGAAAGACGCGCGCGCGTGACATTGCGATGCATTTCGTCGTACATTCGCCAGCCGAAAATTTCGGCCAAATCGATCGCGATATCCTTCACATATCCTGCTTTTCTTTCTCGTACACTTTCTACCTCTCCCCTCCCCCTTCTCTCTCCCTCTCCCTCTCTCTCTCTCTCTCTCTCTCTCTCTCTCTCTCTCTCTCTCTCTCTCACGCATCGCTTTATCGAGTCGCGTTTTCGCGAAGATGACGCATCGTCGGGCGCGTTATGTCGTGTTTAATATCGCGAGTACGGAGTCGAGCCGAAATAATAAATCGTAAGCACGAGTAGTACGAAAGCAGCGCGGTAATGTAATCGGCCATCGCACACGCAACTGACGAAGCGGTATGCGGATTCCGTTCCGAGGCTGAATGCTAAACAATGTGTCTCGAGGTATCTGGTTTCGGTTTCTACGGATGCAGCTTGAGAGCTTAGAAGCGCACAGGACGTGTTAATCTTTCTCTCCCTGCGCTCTCTTTCTTTCTTTCTCTCTCTTTCTTTTTCTGTTCCACGTCTCGGGTCAAACCAACTCGTCCGATACAGTTATTAATTAAAGTTTGTTATTATTAATAGTTATTAATCTGCGTTGAAGAATATGCAACGTTACGAAAGAATATCTCGCTGCTTTATGTTTCGCCTTGGAGTTCAAAGTATACGTCACACATACTCGCAAGCTTCAACCTCTATAATATATCCGAAAGACAAGGTTATATCCTGAGGAAATTCCTCTCGAGATCGGTGTTCCTTTAACTTTAATTCTGATGTGGGAGTTACGAAACCGCGGACTGCTGCTACATAAAATTTTCGTGAATGATAAAGGAATCAAGGTTAAGTTTCAACAAGAACCGCTGTTGTCGGTGGATTTCATCGAAACGCTTCGTACGCACATATATTGACGTATCAAATGACAATAAGTTGCGTGCAAGGAAAGAATCCCTGCGGAGTCGCGTTCGTCGGCAGAGAAAGAGAGTGAGAGGGAGGGAGGGGAGGAGAAAGAGAGGAATGCGAGGTTCGCCGGATGTAGAACTCGCTTTCCGGAAATCTCTCCAGGTTCTCTGTAGGCACGAAACGCGTGTAAGTGCGTTGCATTATAGATAGCTGTGTGTAGTCTCGACGTCAGGATACTTTCTTCGATTCCCTGACACAAGAAAATCACCAGAAAAGTGTCCAATCACCGATTGGAATGGACTTTGAACATCGTCGTCGAGCAGCGGAAAAGAAGGCATATTTTTTTTCTATTAATATTTTGTATTCCCATTTTTTTCCGCGCGTATCTTACAATTTTGAAAATATTGGCTCAAAATTAAAATTTCCTACCGTTTTCTATCGAGAATATTCTCGGCCCGTGAGAAATATACAAAAATATCTATTAACATGACGCAACGAACGAATGACGGCGAGGGGAGGGGAGGAGGGAAAATTTTTTCTCGACAATTTTCGATTTGCGTCTGTCGCATGCGCACCTACCTATCCACGCGTCGCGTCGTATCGAGCCAAGATCGAAGCGAAACGTTTAGCACTCACTTTCGCAACTCGTTATTTGCATAACGTACAGAACTTAACGCGCTCACGTTGGCACACGCTTGGCGTAGTTTTCTGGAGTAGCTAGCCGGTGAGGGGACACATGCATAACAGAACGACGGTACGCGCGAAAGTATGCACTTTCGCTTTCGTTCCTTCTCGACAAGATACGTGAAATTTCACGCGTTGCGTGTGTGTACGTGCGTGCACGCATGCACACGCGTACGCGCTTTCATCCGATCGATGATCAGCAGACTGATTCGTTAAACTTCGCCGTACGTCGCTTTAACCTTGGCATACCGTAGCCGAGTGTCGACGTGTGTATAGTGCGCGCGTTTGGTGTTCTATTTGCTTCCCCACCCTTTCCCTTCTCCCCCTCCTCACTCCCTCTACCATCCTTACATCGCGGGCCCTTCTCTCCGGGCTCTTCGATGTACATTCCTGACTCGCACCCTCCTTCTTCCTCCGTTCCGCTTGCTCTCTCTTCTCTCTCTCTCTCTCTCTCTCTCTCTCTCTCTCTCTCTCTCTCTCTCTCTCTCTCTCTCTCCTCTCTCTCTCTCTCTCTCTCTCTCTCTCTCTCTCTCTCTCTCTCTCTCATCCTCTCTCTCTCTCATCCTCTCTCTCTCTCTCTCTCTCTCTCTCTCTCTCTCATCCTCTCTCTCTCTCTCTCTCTCTCTCTCTCTCTCATCCTCTCTCTCTCTCTCTCTCTCTCTCTCTCTCTCTCTCTCTCTCTCTCTCTCTCTTTCTCTCTGTCTCTCCCCTTCTTCTCTTTTTCTGTTTCTGTCTTGTCATTATAATAGGACAGAATCACGATAAGGCCAAGGACACGTCGAAACTGTGAATCACACGATGAAAAAGAAAAGCATCGGGTATCGATCTTCTGTAGTTCTGATAAAGGAGAACACGCGAAGGTACAAATTGAAAGTCGATAACGCGAAGAACCGATGATTTCCGAACTGACAGATGAAACAAAAAAAATGTTGATAATAATAGACGAGTCGCTTCGGAGAATTCGTAAAATACGGTAGTCGTTAGTCTTTTCGATAAATCTCAAGTGTACGGTAAGATGTCAGACTGTGACACCTCATTGATCCTCTTGAAACTCGTACTTTTCAGGGCTTGGATCCTTAATCTGGCCGTTGTCGCACTCATTCCTTCTATTTTGTTTCAAGTTGATGTGCTTCATGAATGCTAAAGTATATTTTTATTACCGTGGAATTTTCTCCTTATACGGGTGTGCGCTGTAATAACATCGTCACGAATCGCCTGCGATCACCCTGTGTATATATTACTTTCTTTTTTTTCTTCATGTTCTTTTTTCATGTCATTCCAGGTTCACCAAGCCCCAGACGTTCGCGGATTGTATCGGGAACGAACTGCCACTCGGTTGGGAGGAGGCCTATGATAAACACGTGGGCGCCTACTACATCAATCATGTCAATCGTAAGCACTCTGCTTTTGCTATCTGCGCTCGGAAAAGTGCAATTGCGATTTGAGAACTTGCGCGGTGAACTTGACTTCTGTGCGATACGAGAAATCATCCTATTCGAGATTCCATGTCGCGTGTCTGTATCATAATAAACGCATACGTGACTATGTAATTTTTTATACGCGATCAACAATGAAACGGCGTCGGTTAACTCAGCGACGAAAATAGCTGTCAGTTGAAGAATACTTGCACGAGACATTAATTAACGTGAAAAATGAATTTTTGTCACCTGTAGTTTCACAGATTAATATGTGAATACTGTTTAACTTGTTGGTTCTTTTCCTATGATAACTCCATTGTGTTGGAGTCAGTACTGACGAAGAGAGACAGACTAGAAATCTGCAATTGCCAACTACGCAAATACATACACACGGAGTATCTCATCCTTTCAATGTTAATTGTATCTAAAAGTAAATTTGCTAAATTTATAAATTGGTAGGTCAATTTTCAACTGTATATAAACATTTTGGCGAATTTTTGCTAAAAAGGACAATCCTTTCTAGAGGAGGACATCTAGCAACCCTATCTAGAGCTGTTTGATTGATTTAACTTAATTCTACCTAAAGCTGTTTTTTGAGCACTTCGAAGATAATCTTTCCTTATCGAAAAGTCAAGATCTGGGAACTGCACATATGCATATATTCTGCATATATGCATGTGTGTAGTCGTAAAGATGTTACAAATAATAAACGTTCGCCACTCTATTTATTAAAAATCTATTAAAATTCGTTTTATGCGATATGTCACACTAACATCAAAACCCGTAAGGGGAAGAGATTAATAACATCGCGTCGTTGGATTGTTATTCACAGAGACGACGCAACTGGAGGACCCAAGGCAAGAATGGCGAGCTATTCAGGAGGCCATGCTTCGAGAGTATCTGCAGACCGCACAGGACGTACTGGAGGTGAGTTTAACAGTTACGAAGCGACGAAATTTTATCATTTCGTAGCAAGGGACCGTTTATTTCGAGTGTGTCGCGCTCGTGTTAGAGCAGAAATTGCTCGTTAATCGCGCGCCGTGTCGATGAACTTCGCTCCACCGAGATTAAAACAGACGGGATGGAGGGAACTAGCGGAATTTCAACGAGGGTCGACGAGGGCGGCAGGAAGTCGGTCCGTGAGAAATCATGTTACTTCCGGTCATTCGGTGTACTCTCGTGTACGAGCACGATGGTGTAGATTAACACGCGATTAACCGCGTTCTCCCCTCTGCATTTATCCTTCTAGGATGCGTGTTATGTGTACATGTTGGCACACGTGCGCGTTTACATACGCACGCGCACACACACGCACGCGCACACACACACACACACACATACATACGTACATACATACATACATACACACCCAAATATGCGCGCGAAGATTGTACCATTCGACACAATCCCCAACGGTGGATTTGCACACTACATTAGGTACAAATGGGCGTAGCAATCGTGGAGAATACTTGTGCGAAAAACAGCGAATGAGGAAACTGATAATGTGCAGTATTCTTCATATATGTAAAGTATCAGCTTTCAGCAAAGATATTATCGAGAAACGTTTCCTTAAAGATTCTTCAAGGAAAGAAAGGTTTCCTCAGGAAACTAAGGAAATAACGCCCATCGCTGATTCGCGACATTCTTTTTTGCACTATTCTCACATAAAATTTACACGGTATTCCTGATTTTTATATAATCATGTAACTTTTCTATACACCAGTGGATGATTTCGCAAATAAATAATCTAAATCCTTATTATTTATATGCGGAAGTTAACCGCAGTTTGTAGAAGGTAACGTTTGGTAACCTGCAATTAAAGAATCCATGGCTGGTAGCTAATTTGAACGTTCATAAGAGAGGGAGGGAGGGAAGGTAGGATGGAGAGAGGAAGAGGAGGTGAAGGAAGTACACTTTGGTATTTCGTCGTGACGCCAGTCTGGACCCCGCGTAGGAATGCTCTTACGTCACGCGCGACTGCGTTACGAATTTTCGATGGAATGCGCGTCAGGTGAGAGAGAAAGAGTGAGGAGGGAGGGGGGAGGATAGGAAAGGAGGGAGCGAAAAGGAGAGAGGTGCGGAAGGGAAAAGAGGTACGCCAGCTTTAATTCGAGAGCAAACGAACGATACGATAATAATATTTATCGGTGGTAATGGCGGCGCGCGTCGCGCGTGAATCTCCGGATGGGCAGACGGGGAGGAATGTCGATGTACGGTATATTTATTTCGGGCAAAATACTGCGGCCATGATGTCATCGTCGATTTTCGAGAGAGAGAGAGAGAGAGAGAGAGGAAGAGATTATCTATGCGCGACTGAGGCTATGCGATTCTAGTTTCAAGATCCCAAAGCGTCCGAAGATCTCTCTCATCTCGCGCCTCATCTCGTTTCTCTCTCTCTCTCTCTCTCTCTCTCTCTCTCTCTCTCTCTCTCTCTCTCTCTCTCTCACTCACTCTCACTCTCTCACTTACTCACTCACTCTCTCTCTCTCTCTCTCTCTCTCTCACTCACTCTCTCATTCTCTTTCTCTTTCTCTTATTGTCGTCGTCGACGTCGACAGTTAGTTGTTCCGTCGTCTGGATGCGCGCATATAAATAATTTATCGTTTATGCGCGTTGTCGAGCGATTAATTAATTATTTATACTTGAATTCACCCCGCGTCTCTCTCACGAGTGCGCAAACACATTTATCCGAGTAAACATATTTTTCGCCGGTGAGATATGGCGTATTCGCGCATTCCCTCTTCCTCCCGTGTCTGTACCACTGCATGAAGCTGCATCCTTTTGCATATATACAATAAATAATTAACAACCATCGTGATAATTATCGCGTATACGCGATATGTTTGTGTACGTGGGAAATGCAAATGTTTTAGACGGAGGTCGCTGCCAAGAGATTGTGTACATGTGTGTGCGTGCGCGCGCGCGTGTGTGTGTGTGTGTGTGCGCGCACGCATGGGTTAGTTTCTCACGTTCCTAGAATTCTTGGAATATTTTGAACACATCGCGCACAGATGCATTCCGATTTGAAATATGCGTTTCAACTGTTGACCGTGACGTTCTTCCTTAGACTTTTTCGAAACTCGCAAATAACGAGATTAGTGTGTTGCTTTTCTTTCGCGCTTTTAGAAAAATTACAACTTAGCTATTACTATTACTTGCGTCAAGTCCCGACGTCGGTTCACAATGCAAAATCTCCGCCCGACATCACGGCATAGGAAAAAAAACTCGTGACGGCTTCCTTCCGTCAGAAGTGTCGCACAAAAACTCAGATTTTAATGCAGAGTTAGACCTTAGAATTTTTTTCGGTTAAATCGTGCAATATACATATAATACATATATTCGACCGAAAAACTTGTATCTAGCTTTCGGTTTAAATCTGAGTATCTTACTCGAAGCCAGTTTCAAATGACGATTGCTATGAATGTAAATATAAATCCCGCGCAATTTCCGCGAGAAAAAGGAAATTGGAAGCGTTGCGACAAATCATGAAGTTCCTCGACACTCTTGTATCTGAAATCAAATTGATCTTACGTTGTTCGAAAATTTGCACGCAAAAGGTATAGGACTTCGCTGCAGAACACATCGTGTGTGTGCCAATTTTCTATTTACTGCATACAATTATCATAATTTTTGCGCAAGTGTTATGTAACTCGGAGTTTCTCAATAGGACGCAAGTGACTCTCGAGTGCTCCCAAAGACTGACCGCCACTTACGTTCGATTCGATTTGTGGAGTGACCGTGGGCATCCTTACGAGCGAATTGTGACGTAATATGCAGGAATTTCGAAAGTTCTACGCGAAGAATACGCGAGAAACGCCGCGATTTAATTTCAGTTAAGAGGGAATCAGAGTTACGCCATTGTGCGATCAACCTGTTCCCCGGCCATTTTATTTTCGATAATAGTAATCTTGGGGTATTGAGTTTTCGAAGTGAAAGTACAGTCATTCAGTATCGTTGCATCAGTGTTTGTATCTGTCATCGAAGAGAGAGAGAGAGTGCGCGCGCGCGCATGTGCGAGGGGTTGAGGAGCTTCAGGAGAGGGAAAGAGACGATGATGATGACGACGACCTCGCGATACAAGAATTCCACGGATTTCATGCGGCACAACAGCAAGCGCGTCCTTAGCCTCGAATCTGACATTTTCGAATGGATCAGTGGCTGTACTTTGCCGGTCTCCTAAAGAAGTGCGTGGGCTTCTTCACGCATCCCTTCTTCGTTCTTTCTCCTTCTTTCCTCTCTTCCTCTCCTATTCCTCCGTCCTTCTTTATCCCATCGCTAACTCTCCGTCTCCCCTCTCTTCTTCCTTACCCTCTTTCTCACTCACTTACTCTCTCACTGCCCCTCCCTCCCCGCCAATCTCCTTCATCCACACTCTCTCTCTCTCTCTCTCTCTCTCTCTCTCTCTCTCTCTCTCTCTCTCTCTCCCTCTCTCTCTCTCTCTCTCTCCTCCTTCCACTCTTCTCTTCGTCGCTCGTCGCTCTTTCTCCCTCTTTCTGCCCGCTCTCTCCTACCCCCTTCCTTTCCCCTCCCTCTCACCCTCATTCCTTCGGTTCTTCTTGATGTTGCCCGAATAGAGAGGCAGCAAGATGCGAGAGGAATGTTAATTGCCATTTATTTTTGCCCGCGCTTGCCAGCCTGTACCGCTCGTCGGCTCTCTCGCGCGCGCGCGGACAGATACAAAACCGATTATGACACCGCCGGAGGAAACTGCGAATACCTCCCGATGCTGTAAATCATATGGTTCACGGATCTCGTTCGAAAGCGCAGGCAGGTGCCGGACTTTCTTCGTTCCCTCCCTCTGTTATTCGTTCTTGACGTTCGTTAGTTTGGTTCGATCAGTCGATCGTTCGATCGATCGATCGACCGGCCGACCAACCGATCGATCGATCGGCCGGCGTATTTCATTCTCTCGGGCCTGCCATGTACGTATATGTATACGTGGGGCGCGTATATTTTTTTTCGCTGCACAAAACTCGTTCTGTGCGCTTGATGTTTCAACTGAAACCTCCCGTTGCTTCCGGCTATCCTTCGATTATGCGACTGTTGCTCGCACAAATCGTCTCCCTGTCTTTCAATGCAATTTAAACGTTTATTTTCCAATAAGAAGCACCAGGAACAATCGATAATCGTGATTAGCTGAGCGTAACGCATCCACTACTGCACAATTTGCCTGGCTCGAGCATCAAAAGGAGTATTCGAGCGAAAGTAGTGGGTATTACAAACGGAGAGAAAATTCCAAGCGTCGGTAATTGGCGATATCGTTGTTTCGCTCGGAGACCTCCATTATTTCACGAAACTGTCTCTTCGACATGAACGCTCGAACGGGCGATTTCAATTTTCGACAAACAATCCCGCTTGCTCCCCTACCTCGCGTATTTCCTCATTACGGAATAGATCGCCGCTTTTCGCCGCGTCGTCCTGGTGAAATGAGGAAATATAGTGACTCTCTGCGAATAACTACCGGCAACTACCGTAGTTTCCCGTTTTGTCCTCGACGACAACAATGATACATTCGATCGTACCACCATTCATTCATTCATCCGAAGAATCGTCCCCGCCCGAGCCTCAATCTTTTTCCAAGTTGTCAATAGCGGAATGGCGCAGCACAATGTCGTCGTGATGCTGAGAGAGAGGGAGAGAGAAAGAGAGAGAGAGAGAGAGAGAGAGAGAGAGAGAGAGAGAGAGAGATTCGGTTTCGTAAAAATTCCCGACGACAAATTCGCAGCGGCGAGAATGCAGAACGAGCGGCGCGGTGGAATGGAATTCCATAAATGTGAAAGCGGATTCGTTCTTTGCAACTGGATCTGCAGCACACGGTGTGCTACTATTACGCTGCATTGTGTGCCCCATCTCTTTTTCTCGTGCGCCTCATGTGCACGTATTAAAAACGAGCGCCTCTGGCAGGCTGTTTCAACTCGATACCTGCGCATTGTGACTTTGCAGTCTATATAATTGCTGCGGCAAAAAATACATCGCGGGGGAACATTTTATCCCGTTGTTATATGTGTGATAATTGAGATGTATTATTTATAGTCGCGCGATCGTACAGTGCTGCCATTATCATCATGTCGCTATAGCGAAGCTCATTCATGAGTGTAGGCCGACACAAAAATGCAGGTTCATTTGTTTCACCTGCACTTGCTGTCGCATATCGTTTGTTTTTCCTTCACTGTCCAAATTGTAAATACACACTTCTTTGAATAAGATCAAATAAAATACAAACAAGTGGACCTCGTGTCTCATATATTTACGAGTTACCTTCTTCGGCCATGGTCGATTTTTAACTTTATTTTGATCGCTGCTAGTTCCTCTATTGCATCGC